ATGGTTGCACCATACCCGTTTATGATCCGGAGTTAGCAAAAGTTACAATCAGGACAATCATTCGAGGACGAATGATCCCAAGGGGGAGATAATGTAACACCCCGAAAAAAATTCGGCTTAGGTATGAATGAGTTAAAGGAGTAGTAAGGATATATTTTGAACATGTGAAGTCCCATCGGGATGATTATGGGTGAAAATAGTTGTTTCAAAATCAAGATGGAAAGTGAGGTGCATAACATTTGACAAAATCGACTAAGTTTGCAGAAGGTTTATATTCCAGCAGGTTTTAGTGATACTGTGTAAGGAATTTGGGAAATCCCAAAACATGAAAGTTGTAGGCCTTTGAAATAGATTTCCAACGATATATTGTGAAGCCCAAACGGAGCTATGTGAAAAAGGTTATGTCCGTTTTACAGAGAGGTGTGAAACCACCGCGGTCCTGGCGCGTTTTACCGCGGCCGCGGTGGCGAGGCAGTGTCTCAGCGATTTACCACGGTCGGGACCGCAATCACGCCAACCGGGAGGCGGTGGAAGACTTGGGAGGTCATTGTTTTAGCCTTATTTCGTCCCCTACAACCCCAAAACATAAAAACTTGCTCTAGAAAGAAAAACTCTCAAAAACCTAACTCCTCAAGGGTACCTCCACCATCCAAGGTAAGTTCTAATGGTGATTCTAAGTTAATTTTAATTTCCCAACATATTATTAACATGGGTAAACCCTCCATATCATTAGATATTCGATTTGGGATACCATTGTTGAGAGAAGAAACCCTAGAACTCGAATTCAAGAAGATTGAACGTCGAAAAGGTAATATCTTCACCCTCTAATTGATTCTATCATTGAATTAATGATTATAGACTCTATTTCATGAGATATGAGTTGATGAGTTTGATAGAAAGTATGAACTGTGATAGGTTTGGGTTGTTGATTGGTTATTATTGGTTATGGGTGTTGAATACCTTATGGGTGATAAAGAATAATGTTGATTATAACCATTTGAGACTTTAGAATTTATCTAAGAGCAAATTAATGGGTTATTGGGTGTAGAGACACCATTAATAAGGGCTATGAAGCTTTATGCCACCGAGTATTTGATAAAATGCCTAATTGACCAAAACATGACTATTGTTGCTAATTTGGAATGCCTTTGACTTGTATTGATATAGATTAAAGTTGAAAGGGTTGGCGAATATTGTATTATGCTCAAGAGCAGGAAGTTAAGGTATGTGAGGCTAACTCTCTATGTTTGGAAATTTTAATGATTCTCCCTACACTACGTTTCTTTTACGACGTATCAATTGCCTTAGAAATATAGTTAAGCCTAGTTCCTTGAAGAGTTGTAGAACTTCTATTCTCTAGTTTCATAACTCGTTTATGACTTTCATTCTGAATGTTGTGAGCTCAGTTCGTATTCAAAATAGACTTGGGCTTGATGCCCCTAAGTCTCAGTATAGCTTACTCAGCATGTCATAAACAGTTAAAGTTTCAGTGTTCACAACCAATTCAAGAATACATGTCTCATTCTAGTCCTATTCAGTATTCAAGTACTGTGTAACTCAGTATGATTTAGTATTCCAGTATAATGTAACTCAGTGTGATCCAGTATTCCAGCATAATGTAACTCAGCGGAATTCAGTAATTCACTATTACGTATTGCAGTATGATTCTCAAATCCTAATTTTAAACCCCTGAATGTCGAACACCTGTATTTGGTCCTGAGGCCGCAGTTAATGCTTTATGCATCTTTGGGCCTGAGGCCGCAGTTTATGCTTGCATTTTAGATCTGAGGTCATAGGTATGTATACGTATACTTGGGCCTGAGACCGTAGTTGTGCACATATATTTATTGGGCCTGAGGCCGTAGTTTATTTATTCAAATAAACAGGTTGTTCATCATTTAGAAGAGGGAGTATTCATATCCTTACTTCCTTTGTTCATTTCAGTTATCAGTTATCATTCCAATTACCAGTTATCAGTTATCATTTTAGTAATCAATTATCGGTTCAGTTATCATTTCATTTATCAGTTATAAGTTCAGTTATCAACTATCAGTTATCTTTTTAATTTCTATTTCAATAGTTATCATTTCAGTATCAATTATCAATTCTCAGTTATCAGCTTAGTTTCAGCTTCAGCATTTATAATTCTTTCTTTCAGTTGTCTTATATACCAGTGCAATTCAAATGTACTGACATCCCTTTTGCCTGGGGCCTGCATCTCACGATGCAGGTAATGATTTATAGGTTGACGATTCTGAGCGCTAGGATTCTCGTACCAGCTATTTGGTGATCCTCAGTCCTTTCGGGGGATTATCATTACTACAGTCTTCAGTATTCACATACAGTCAGTGTTTTCAGTACTCGAATAGAGGCTTCATAGACTAGAGTAATAGTTATACAAAGTCACAGGCTTTTCATATTAAGTTATGTCGGCTACAAATATGTTTAAGAATTGTATTAGTATTTTCGCACTTTGATTTATATCATCCAGACTTTCAGTATATCAGCATGTGTTAGTTTATCTTCCGCATACAATATGTTATGATACCACATGTTGATTCAGCCAGCCAGTTTGTTCGCTCGGTCACATGTAGTCAGGCACCGAGTGTCGTGTTACGTCTAGGCCCAGGTTCGGGGCGGGACATGCAGCTTCTCTAAACGTGTCACAAGTTATTCCGTTTACAGTTCGCAAATCTTTATACGATTTTGGTCCTTTTACGTTCATTAAGAGCAATCTAAGATAGTATCTTTCTCCTTCGGCTGGATGACATATCACAACTCTACCAATAACATATCCTTGTTGGCGATGTGACCACATCTTGTATGTTGTGGACCATACAAAATATTCTGGAAATTCCCGATATAATAAATTCAAAGTCATAGCATTTTCTTTTCACTATTCATTCTAAAAAATTCAGTTAACATTGTTTTTTTAATCATAGGATTATTCACAATTCTACTAATATTGTCTATATTTTTTAAGGAAACAATTTGTTGTCCATCAAGATGTAGTTGAAGATGGTATACATTTGGAATCATTTCACTTATAGGAAAAGCAAATATGCGCCACGCAGCCTCAGGTGGTGACACCCACCTAGTAGATTGATATTCTTTTATTTCATCTACTTCTATATTCGTCTCATTAGGATGTATATGAAATGCAATTTTATCATGTCCTTTGCAAATATACTTGTAAATGTACAACTTTAATATCAGAGCAAATCTCCACATTTATATGACAATTAAATTTACTAAGTAAGAATGGATTGTAAGAAACAATCCATGAATTATCAAAAAGTTGTCCTCTAATTTCCACAGATTTTCCCGTATTTCGTCTTCTGTAAATAGGGTATGAACTTTTTCCTTTAGTTGTCTTTTCAGCAAACTCTTTTGGAAATTTAAATTTACAATGACCGTTTTTTTATTCATACAGAGGCTTGTTGGATTTAATTGACCGCAAGGACCATGTAGCATGTGTTGTGTAACAAGCTTAAATAAATCAGAGTTTCTTTTAGGATCCGGTAATTCAGCACAAACAAATTTATCATATGCTTCAGGAGTCAATAGTTTGTATTTTTCATCGCGTATAATAAGAAAATGAGCATGCAGAAGTCCCCATATTTGGAATTCGACCGTGTACATAAATGTTGCAACTTTACCAAATATTTGTCTTTTTAGTATATCCTTTTGAAGCTCTTCTAGTTTTGCTCGAAATATTCGGCTAACTAAATCGGGTCTATTCTGAGCTTCATCCGTCGACAACAAGTTTTCTTGAATTTCAGGCCAAGAAGGGTTACATGTCATAGTTAGAAATATATTGGGCATTCCAAAACGCTGCACTAATGCAATAGCATCCATCTACCGGCGACGCATATATTTTGGTCCTCCTATGAAGCTAAGTGGAAGTATTTTGTTCGTACCTACCTGTGAGCCTTCTCTCTCACCGCGTCATAAAATATCTAAAAGTCCTGCTAACACGTCCATCTTGAATAAATCTTGATTGAAAAAAGGAAAATTTAATCTTTGAGTTTCAACTTTTATCCATTCGTTTACAGCATATTATTGAAATAATCGTCCTGAATGTAAGATTATATTTTCATCATCTCTAATTTGGAGTTGATAACAATAATATTCACGACAGGAAACTGTTTTTCTTTTTCGTTTGCCTTTTTGCATCACTTCAGCTTCCATGTCAAGGAATCCATCAATTGAAGTCATATTGATTACACATGGCAATTGTTCGTATTCACAATACGAATGTGTTCTAGAAGGGGTAGTTGAAGGCTTAAGTTTTTGAATACCACAATGCCAACCATTTTGACCGTAAGGGAACAGTAATGGATATTGCAATGGGTCATAACATCCGTAATAATAATTTACCAGCTGGCTTCTATCACTTTTTGTATATATTCGGATATGTGGTGTAGGGATACAATTATTGGTATCTTGTTCTACCCATATTCCTGCCACTTCTGACGTAGTTGGTATATTGTATATTCATTGATCTAGACCAGCATCACACTTAAGCGCAGTGTAGAAATCTGATAATTGTGGGATATTTTTAAGGATTTCAAAAACGTAGTGTAAGGATTGGTTTTTAATATTTCCATTAAATTTTTCCCAGTATCCTCGTTCAATTTATTGGAACATCACTACAACAAAAAAGTCTTTAGCGACAATTATTTAGCGGCAATAAGACAATTGCCGCTAATTTATTTACGGAAGGCAAATATTACTGGCTAATGAATATTGGCTGCTAATTACTATGTATTAGCGTCCATTCAAGAGGAAAAGCCGCTAAAATAATTATTTTTACTTTTCATATTCCCTCCAATTTTTTCTTTTCCCTCGCACCTAAATTTTAGTACTTTATTTACCCTAAAGACTGCAAACAAGAGAAAAAAAAAAAAAGCTACGCTCTAAATCATAGAAAGTATCTTCTCAATTTGGTGGCTCTCTGCAACCAAAATTTTTGGCCACCATAACAATTACTGGTGAGTTGTCTTTCTTTATATTTTTATTTCTATCTTTAGGGTTCAATTGGATGATTCAAAATTGAAAGTCGCCATAATCCTTTTTGACCAAATAAAACAAAAGGTTACCTTTGATACCTTCTTGTTCCTTCTTCATATTCAATTTCAATATATTCATCGGCTAGACTCATTTAAAGTTCAGCTCAAAGTATATGTATTTTTTCTTTTTCTTGATTTTTTTCTTTGAATTTTTTAATGATCATGGTATCTGGACCAATTTACGCGCAAAATAACTAAATTTTGTAAAAAAAAAAATTTGGCTTTGGAGTTATTTGGGAAGATTGGAATATTTGTATCGTTTTGATATGTTTATGAGTTTTGTTCATGTGGGGTATTAGCTATAGTTAGGAATTTTGCCTTGAATTTGTGAATTTGGGATTCTGAATCTTATTAGATTCATATCTTTTCCTCTTTTTGAAATTTCCTTGGAAAATAACCCTTCTTTTTCTCTAAGAAAATTGGGGTTTTTTCTTTGCATTTGTTTCTGGAATTTATTGTGAAGTCATAGAACATAAACTTGTGTTATCATAATCTTGTGAAAATATTTTCAGTTTGTTTTGGTGAGAGTATAGTCTCAATTTTAGCTGCATTTTGTTGTGATCTTTTACTGATTTTGCCACAAAAATTGATGAAAAGTTACTTTAAATTAAAGTATTGACCAAAGATAACTGGTTGGGTCTAAATCCTTTAATTTGAAATAAATATTACCTGTTAAACCATTTAGTTGTTAACACTTTGCTTTGCTCCATAATTTTGGCAGTTGGTTTGCTTTGAATTATTTATACTTAAGGTATGTGATCAGAGGTCATGAATCATTATTGTACAAACTGTTTTTCGTTTGGATTATCCTTGTCAAAAATAATTATTGCCTTATTATCATCTTTTATGTTAATGTAAATTGTCTTCGAGCTCAAGTATCTATCTCTATTAGTGGATTATGTGAAAATTTTGATTGAGTGGCAGTAATTTTGACAACCTCCAGATACAATTTTTGTCTTCTGTCCACTTTCACATGTTATTGCAGCTTGTTAATTACTTTATTTTGGAGAAGGAGCTATGCGAACTAGAGGTGAAAACAGGATGGTTATTCAACAACATGATGATGCAGATACGCGACCTTATATTGAACAATTGATGAATGGACTGAACTGATCTCAAGTACAAACACATGATATTCAATCTAATAAAATGAATAATTCTACCGATACTAAGGTTCAACAGAATGATGAATCAGGTAATACTTTTTGTTTATCTACTGGACATGTTAGTTCATTTACTGAGTGGTACATTGTTCTTATTTTTATTGTTCCTTGAGATTTTCTATAAATATTTTTGTGTTGGTTGCGTCCTGCACTCCCATGCTCTTACTACAAAAGTATATACCACTTAAAAAATTTTATTTCGTAGTATATTTTGCTATCTTTGAGATTTTTTGGTGATAACATCTTATAGTAGATTAAAAGAAAAATAGAAGATGTTGCACTAATTTGGAAAGCAATTGTTCCATTCTCTTAATGATCATTAAATCTTTTTCAAATCAGGTAGTTCAGAGGAAAGAAAGGTTTGTGGACCCACAATATTAAAAGATATCCGGAAACTGCCACCAGGGAATACAATTGCTATACAATTCAATAATCGTAACCAACCATAAGAAAAGAGGGTCGAAAGCTTGCTAGATTTCTAGGCATAATCGCTAGATCTCCAGAACTAACACCTCTAAAAATAGATGATTGGAGAAACTTTGCCAAAGATGAAAAGAAGAAACTGGTCGAGTTTGTGAAGGTATGGAGTTATTATTATTCTTATGATGTGTGAATATAATAATATATTATTTTATTATACGTGATATTATCTTTTGATTGTTTTCTTTTATTTCACAGAAGAAGTTCTCTATCCCAACTCGTGGAGAAGCATATGTCATAAAGTCAACAAGAAAGAAATGGAAAGATTACAAATATGACTTGAAAAATGTGTATACGACAAAATATAAGACGAAAGATGCTTTGCTAAGAAATAAACCAAGTCGTATACCATGAGATCAATGGACCGGTCTGGTCTCTTATTGGCTTTCTGATAAAGCGAAGGTATCAATTTTATACTTTTAAAATACACATTTAATTTTTATTGTGTGATCGTTTTTGTTAGTTTTTATGTATAAATTATTAGATATTACTTTTATGTTGTAATGATAGAAGCCTACCCACGCAAATAGAAATAACAGATCAAATCAAAAGATGCCTCATATAGGAGGGGTCAAAAAGTATTGCCACATTGATGGATGAGAAAGTATTCTTGTATATATTTTAAAATTTAATTATCTAAAACTCTCTTTGTTATGCATATTTGACATTATTATATTATATTAGGCTGAAAATGGGGTAAAGCTTACATGAGCACACATTTTCATATTAACTCATAAACAACGTAAGGATGGTAGGCCACTGGATGCTGAGTCTGCAAGGACAATCGTAAGATTTCTTCTTTTTTATTTTCTGAATTTTGGTTATCTTTCCAGAATTGGGATTATGAGAACTTTATTTGCCTTTTCTGATACTATCATTTGAAATTATATGTAACGATCTAGCTAGTCACTAGAATCGTGAACCTCATGTCGCAAAAAATTGCCTAATATTTTGATTGCGTGAGACATAACTAAAAGTGAATACTATAAGAAAAAACAAAAATCAGCTTTAATTGCCTTAGTATACTTCTCATATGACAATGATGAAAACCTAAGATTGAGATAATAGCTTAGAACATAGTGACTTAGGCCATATTGTCTCTTAAAAACTGCAAACTTGGGACCAAAGCGAAGGCTATGGAGTTGTTTAAATCCAAATTTATGATATCAAAGAGACTAAAACTTTAGTGTGTATGGAGATATTATTTTTTACACCTCCCATAATGTGCTATGGTTGGCTACATCTTAGATATTATTTTGAATTATGACAATCAAAATAAAATGGCAAGGAAATCATTGATGGAATAAGGACACAATATTTTAATATGTTGGAGTTTGAATAGTTGTTTGTTTATGTGGTGCACCCTAATTAACATTAGCCAATGTTTTGTGTACATTATCTGGAGGTTCCTCTGATTAAAATATGACTTTTAGGTCATTATGAACTATTTCCAATCAGATTGAAGATGTTGGCAGCAATAGCAATAAAGCTTGTCAGAACAGCCTGAACAATCATGACCACTGTGATTATCTTGTCTTTCCTTGAAGATAAACCATGGACATCTCTGCAAAAAATGAATTAAAATGTTCACCACAGAAAAAGAATAAATAAAGGCCTTAGAGCAATTGCACCTGGCAGCATGTGGTTGTTAGGTAGGTGGCCAAACGACCAAGTTGAGTTCATTGGGCCTTATCAGTCGATAGGCTCACTGGGCCGGTAGAGGCACCCCGACTATCTGAGTATAACTTCAACATTGATGGCCTGATCAGTGGACTATTTGGACAGTTCTCAACTTGTTCAAGCATTGTCTTATCACCTGTAGCAGCTACACTATCCAAAACATCAACACATTCAAGTTCTTACCTCTCATCATGCACAACAATAGATTTAAAGCCTGCTGGTTTTCAACTAGTTCAGCACGTGAAATAGTTGCATCAGTCATAGTGTTAATCTGTCCCCGTCCATTATTAAGTTGTTGCATAGCTTTATTACCTACGACAAACTTGAGTATATCGTTGATCTGAAATACGATTAGCAGTAGGGTTTTTATAAACCTATTTTTCCCCATCGCAAACCTGAGAAACCCTATTCAAAGTTGTAGTTTTAGAGCCTGCTATTTTTTCAAACAATTCAGCAGGTACAACAACTGGTTGATCATGTACATGCACCAACTGTTGTTGAACAATAATCTCAGTAGGGAATTCCAAAACCTTTGTACCATTTGTTGCCTTAGGATCCTTCAAATCAGCAGCTTGTTCAGTAGATGATTGAGCTCGATTCCCATTAGGAGTCGGAGCATAAAGTACCTGCTGTCCAGCTGCATATATTGAGAGTACCATCTTTTATCTTTCTCATATGTTGATAGTTGTATCTTAGATTGTTCATGTTCCTTAGTGATCAGCTGTCTAGCTGCATTAACGTATTGCTCAGCATCTATAGTTATAGAAGTCCTAGTTAAATTTCGATCAACCACAGGTACTGTTGCATTCTTCAAAACATGAGAACCCCTAACTACAGTAGCGTCAACAGGGCCTGTAGAAGAACTAGAACCAGTTGTTATTCTCAAGATGCCTCTCCAACAGAATATAATATATGTCCAAGTTCTTTTCCTTTCACTCCTTCCCTTTTATTGTTCTTCGAAACTATTATTGGCTTGCTATATGCACACATAACAAATGTGACTTCCAATCTTGTATGGCAAGGCGTAATGTGTGGTTTGGGGTAAGCATCTTGTGCTGCAGTCTCTGTTTCATCACAGGTGACACATTATGTCTGTTAACCCATGCCTTCACTGCTCTATGCTCATATGTAAAGAGATCAGCTGCTATATGTGGGTTTTCCATTACTTCTTGCAAAGATGTCGCGTGATAATAGACAAGGAAGCAGAATGAGATGCATGTTAGTAGAGAAAAGGACTTTATAAATTAGCAGGTCATCTCCTGGAATTTGAATTCTCACCTGAAGGATTGGACAGAAGTACTGGCTAGGTTCCTGGATAAGGTTCTTCTCTACCTTGACATGCATTTCCGCAATACATGAGAAAGAGTTCGAGTGGTTTTCACCTTTATTGCCCCGGAGATCTTGCACACTTTTGAAAGCTTAAATCTTTTTCTGATTTGCTTGATATCTTGAAAATTCCTCTCATTTACTTCTTATCTATACTATTGCAGTTTGATTTGTTTCAATCGGATTTGTTATGTCTTATTCTATAGAAAAAATGGAACTGTCATTCTATAGTAAAACAACTTTAGCTTGGGGCAATGTTTGCTCGATAAACATCCCAGTTGAAGACTATTATATTTCATCTATTGACATAGTTATTTTGTAATTTCAGGTCATGCAGTCTGATGATCGATAATTTAGCCGGTGGAAGATTTCAAAATGATGAAGCATTACAAAAATTATTTGAAGACCATTATTTGTTAGGATTAGTTATATAATGACAATGCTACTTGCTTCAATGTCACGACCCAATTCCCGAACCCGGTCGTGATGGCGCCTCTCTTGAAAACAAGGCCAGCCAGTCTAACCCAATTCATCTTTTAAAGCAGTTAATTAACACAAATATAGATAATAATGTGGAAGTCCAGCCCGACACAGTCCTAACCGGGCTGTCACAAGTCACGAGCATCTATAAGAATGAAATTTCCACTTTACAGTTTAGAAATACACTGAACAATAATAATGAATAACATAGAAAGACAGTGGTGTTGCGAACGCTGGCAGTCACCTCGCTAAAACCTCTATAACTCTACCTCCATGCAGCCAATACCCGCTACTGGGTGAACAAATACCTTCAACTGCATGCAAGGTGTAGGGAGTAAAGTGAGTACTCCAACTCAGTGAGTAATAAAGGTAAATAATAACTGAGCAGCAAGAAAACACGTAAAGCAACCAACATGCTATATAGAAGCAGTGTAAAACTCCTTGAGAAAAATCAGTGAAACTGTGAATTCTTTAGAAAATACCTTGGCTCAGTTTTAAACCTCTTTTGAAAATGATCTTTTCAATAGTTGTGAAATAATTTCAAAACAATTAGTGCTGCTATGCACAGAAATCCGCCCCTCGG